TTTATTTATATCATATTGTAATTTGTAATACTTTTTATAAAGTATAAAATATTTATATAATGAAAACGAATTATTTTTTGAAATACATTTACAAAAAATATTTTTTTTTGATTTCTTTTTAAAGTTAATAAAATATAAACGCTCCTCCTTTATCCGGGCTTGGAACCGGCTACATCAATTTTAAGTAGGCGGAGTTAAAAATTGTACACGAACAACTTGTTGTAACGTGTACAATTTTTTAAAAAAAATTAAATTTAACGATTAAAAAATAAATAAAAAATTTAATTAATATAATTAAATCAAATATCACTTACCTGACGACATGCAATTTCAGCATATTTATCTTGTAGTCGAAAATGAGCGTCCTGCCAATCCTTCACACAAATTAACGCTTCCAAAACATCTTCTTTCAGTCGGTTTCTGACATCAGTCAAAACCCTTTTACCTGCACTAAAAGCAGACTCCGAAGCAACAGTGCTAACCAGAGGTGTCAATAGATCTTTCGCAATTGCAGAAACAATTGGCCAACGTCTTTCATACTTTCGCCAGAATTCAATTATTTCTTCTGAAATTTTTTTAATTGTTCTGTCTATTGGCATATTATGATTGAAATAATCAATTAATTCGGCAGGCATCGCATTTTGAGTTTCGGCCGATATTTGATGAGATGCAGATGTAGACGACATGGCACTAGATGTACACATTGCAGTTGCATCATATCTAAATGTATTAATACCCTAAAATAAATTCATTATTTTCGCAGCATCTTCTTCAGTTTCAACAGAAGGAATAGGTGCAGTAGAGGGTACCCGACTAACATTTGCACCCATTCTTTCCGCATATAAATCATACATTCCACATTGCTCTAAATTCTTATAGGTGATAGGTGTATCAAGTATTAAAACTTTATTGATTTGATCAATTACGTATTTAGTTCCCGAAATATTATATCGGGGGTCCATTGCGTATGCTAAAGGAAATAACATAGGCAGTTCTTCCCAATAGTTTCTAAACTTTAATTCCATAGCAATTAAAATTTCACTAAAAGTAGAATCATTTTTATATTTATGGAATGTTCTTGCAATTATATAAAGGCGTTCAAGTACCATACAACTTGTGGGATAATAAACGCCGGATAAAATCTTTGTAGTCTCATAAAAAGATGTCAAAAATCGTTAAACTTTCAAAGCTAAAATCCAATTGGATTCATTTAACATACCATCATATAACTTCTAACATGTCTATTATTATAAAAGTTAGTTATTAAACTTTCGAAACTTTCACATGATTTTAATAGCAAGTATGTAGAGTTCCATCTATGACCTACGTCGCTAACAAATGTTTTAGCAGTCATCACCCCTAGTTCGGCACAAAAATCTTCAAATACTTGTTTTCTACTAGGAGAGATCGTAATATAAACTAATGCATTCCTAATCCTTTGAAATTCATCATTTATATGTTTTAAACCATCTTGCATAATTAAATTCAAGATATGACACACACAACGAATATGAAATAAATACCCACCAAAATCAGGTTGAAGTACCCTACATAATTTATCGACGACTACCTTATTAACGCTAGCATTATCAAAAGTAAAAGATCGAATTTCACTCTCACAATGATATTCTCTAACAATACTGATAATAGCATTATATATATTATTAGCATTGTGAGGAAATTCAATAATTTTAAAAGCAATAATTTTCTTATGCATGCACCAAAGTGGGTCTATATAGTGTGCGGTTGCAACTATATATACTCTTTTATTAACCCCTTCCCATATATCAGAAGTTAAGGATATAACACCCCTATATTGTTGCAAATCCATAATTAATTGTTGTTTTGAATTATTGAAATAATTTATTGTATCGGCACGAAAAGTGTTTCGACTTACCCCAACGTACCTCGATTGTAGATATTATTTCACGAACGAGACGAAGTGTTGGTTGTCTGCAATAGCCAGAGGCAACTCAGTGGCGGCAACAAATTGCACAATTCCAGTTCGAGTCTTGTCCTCCGAATACACCCCCGTGGATAGGGGTGAAGTTGTAGAACCGACGCCTGGACTGCCAAATTGTAATTGTATTTGACCAGCTGGAAGAAGTCCATGTCTGGCTACACATGATTTGTAGTGGCGGTTGAGATGAGTGGTACCAATTCCTTTTTGCCATGCCAATCTTTGTTGGCAGTATTTACATACTGCTTTAGATTCTGCAAGGCCATCAATGACTTTTCCCATTGAAATCAACTTAAAGTGATCCCAACATTTTGCTTGTTTTTTAGCCTTTCGCTTTTCCCTCGCATCTGGAATATTTAATTGCTGATCTTCATCTTCATGTTCCGCTTCGAGAACGTTAATATCATCCAAATCAATTGGAATGTGGCTTCCCTGACCGTGAATGTGAACATCTTCAGGTATCGGTATGTCATTTGGACCGACAAATTCATTTGGAAATTGACTTTGTGGCATACTAGGCGATTCTATATGATGTGGCAATGGCTCACATCCTGTATCGAACAAGCTCTCAACAAATGAACGTTGATCCATTTCTGTGATTGTTTATGATGAAATCTTGACTAGATGAATATAAATGTAGTGAGATTGTGAAAATTGAGAATTCGATGAATTGAAATTGTAACTAATAAACTGGAAAAATTGAATTAATATTGTATATTTTGCAGCACAAGAGAGTAAAAACTCGATAATTGATATAATAAAAGATAGTTGAGACTTGAGAGAGTTGTAATCTTGAAAGAGATTGATATGAAAAAAAAATTTGGGGGAAGGGGGTATTTATAGTAAAAAAATGGGGGGGGGAAAAAAGTTTAGCGACCGTTTGTCACTTTGTTCAGTGACCAGAACGGTCTGGCTCGTCCAAACAAGCCGCCCACGAGCGGCTCGTCTACACGGCGAGCCGAGGGGGGCCCGCTCGGCTCGTGCTCGGGCTCGTGATTTCACTAGCCTGAGCCGCCCACGAGTCCATTTTTCACGAGCCGAGCCGGCGAGCCGCGAGCCGACTCTGCCCAATTGACATCCC